CTCCTCCTCCTCCTCCTCCTCCTCCTCCTTCTCCTCTTCCTTCTCCTCTTCCTCCTCCTCTGCCACCACCACCTCTTGGCTTACTGGCTTGCTCTCCATGGCTCTCTCAGCTTCCTATAAACCCAGGACCATCTGCCAAGGGGTAGCATGGGCTATCCACCTCCATCAGTCACTAATCAAAAACAATACCCCCAAAGACTTGACCATAGGCCAATTTAATGGAGCCATTTTCTCAGTTGAGGTTCTCTCTTTCCACCTGACAAAATGAACAAACAAACAAACAAACAAACAAACACAAACAACCCTCACCAGCACATGTCCAGAAGCAGCTGGAGGAAGAAGGAACACAGGAGGTGTAAGACAGTTCCCATACGGGCATCAGGGCCCACATCCATCCTGGTAGACTCCTGAGTGCTAGTTAATGCCTACAGCCTTAAACGTTTATTTTTTTTCTCTTTCTTGCTGACTTTGCCACCGGGGGGGGGGCGACGCTCTCCCTCCTGGTTCTAGGGACAGCTCCCCAGGGCCCCAGCAATTGCATGCTGATTTCTCTCTGACTGCAATTCTTCCTTAGTTGTGAGCTTGAGCTGGCTCATCTGCTATCATTCACCACACAGTGACTTCACTTGAAGAACGAGGAGGCTAGTTATTTGGCACCAAAAAAAAAAAAAAAAAAATCAACATTTCCTGATCCTGGTCAATGTCTTTTTGGGTTTTGCTTATTTTTTTTCCCCCCAGAGGTCTCTTTCATTGTTGAGGAATGGGGGAAATCTGTGGAGTTGGCCTCCCATAATCAATCCAGACCTGAGTATTCATTGCAAGAATTGGCCATTTGCTTCTTTGTCTTTGTTTTGTTGCTGTGTTGTTGTTGTTTTAAAGACGGGACCTCACTATGTAACTCTCTGGCTGTCCAGGAACCTCAGGCTGGTCTTGAATGCACACAGATCGGCCTGCTTCTGCCTCCCAAGTGCTGTGATTAAAGGCATGTACCACCACTGCCCAACTCTCTCTCTTTCTCTCTCTTCTTGTGTGTGTGTTCACTCATGTAAGTGCAGGAAATTTCTTTTATTATTTTTTTATGTTCATGTGTTTTACCTGCATGTGTGTCAGTGCATCATGTGCATGCATCTTGCTCTTGGAGACCAGAAGAGGATACTAGACCACCCAGAACTGGAGTTACAGTTTTGAGCTGCCATGTGGGTGCTGGGAGTTGATCCGGGTCTTCTGGAAGAGTAGGCAGTGCTCTTAATGGCTGAGCCATCTCTGTAGCCCCCAGACATCTGCTTCTTTGTGTGTGTGCATATGCATGCGTGTTGGAATACATGTGGAGGCCAGAGGGTTGTTTTTCTCCTTTCACTGTGTGTTTCAGAGATCAAACTCTTCTTTAGGCTTGGCCAGGGGCCCCTTTATCAGCTGAGCCACTTCTCTGGCCCTGTCTATTTGCCTTTGAACCAGATTTTCCTCTACAGTAATTTAGATCTGAATTTTATCGGGAGGCAAATAAGTTTCCTCTCTTACCTGGCAGAAGTGTGGGCACAAGTCCTATAGGGAAAGAATTCTGTGATCCACTAGTCAGGTCTGTCAAGGTCAAGGCAATGGGGGAATTAAAGTCTGAGTGCTATTTGCCCAGATAGGTGATAGAAAGGATTAGCTTTTCAAATAGGGAAGAATACAGATTCTATAGAAGATTTAGTGGTTTTTCACTCTTTGTTGTGTGTAATTAATGTTGTAACTAAGAATCCTATATTTAGGCTGGCTGAATATCTCCGTGCAAACCCCTTGTCTACCATGCATGCCGGCTTGGGTTCCATCTCCAGCACCTCAGAAGGGGATAGGGGATTATGTCTATATTAGTCAGGCAGGGTTGGAGAGACTGCACGCAGTAGCTGTTAAGAGTTTAGACATCTCTCTCCAAACTCCAGGCCCAGCTCGTGGGACAGGTGCCAAGATTCTCAGGCAAGGCCTCTTGGCATGCAGACCCATGGAGATGGATGGGGGAGGGGCGAGGCTTGGAACCGGCCTGGCAGGAGGAAATGCTGAGTTAGTTCTCTTGCCAGAGGCAGGCACAGGATGTACCCAGCTCAGCAAGCTCCTCACTCCAATGCAAATGGACAGAGAGTCTGTGGGGCCTGAAACTTCCGTGGCTGATTGGCAAGGCAGGGGAGGCCTGTCTAAGAGAGTGGAAGAAGGGACCGAGCCTGGAGAATGTGCTGTACATCTGAAAGGAACTTCAGCCAAATTTGAGACAGGGCTGGTATGCTGCCTCAGCAGGTAAACACAGTGTGTCAAGCCTGTCCATCTGACTCCAAGCCCCAGGACCCTCATGGGTGAAGGAGAGAGCCATCCTGTACTCCCCTTGGCTCCACCTCCACACACCTGCTGGGTTTCGGCACCAATAAAAGGAGAGAGAGAGAGCAGAGAAGTGGAGGATAGAGGCCGGCCATGACCACGTGGAGAGACCGGGAAGAGAAGGGGGGAGGTGAGACAACAACCTGCAGGTGCGGGTCGGGAGGGCAAGAGAGAGAGGAGGGGCCAAGCAGCCCCTTTTATAGTGGGCAGGGTTACCTGCCTGTTGCCAGGTAACTCTGGGGCGGAGCATACCTGGCTGTTGCCAGGTGACTGTGGAGGTGGAGTTTAACAGATTACTAACAATCCCTCCCATAAATAAATAGATGTAAGTTAACATTTGCAATTGCTCAAACAGGCCTTGAACTGTAGGTTCTTCTCCATGAGCCTCTGGAGTAGCTGGGAGTCTGACTCAGACACAGATGCCCTAAGTGGAGACAGGAGACTCGAGCAGGAGAAGGAGGTGGGTTGTAAGCAGACAGGATTAAGCACTCGGGTTGGGGATATGCCTTGCTTGGTAGAATGCCGGCCTAGCACTCAAGAGGCCCTGGGTTTAGTGCCTAGAAGCTCTTAAAATTGGGCATAGTGGCACATTCCTGTAGTCTTAGCGTTAGGAAGTGGGGGCAGGAGGTTCACCATCATGAAGCTGGAGAGCCGGCTCAGCAGGTGACAGTGCTTGCTGCTCTTGCAGAAGACCCAGGCTTGATTCCCAACATCCACATGGCTTCTCACAGTTGCCTCTAATTCCCTTATCTGGTCCCTCATGTTCTCTCTCTCTCTCTCTCTCTCTCTCACCAATCTTTTAAAAAAAGGTAAGAGATAAGAAAAAAAAAAAAGGAAAGGTTTGGGGTTTTTTGTTTGGTTGGTTTGGCTTTTTGGGGGGAGTATCTTTCTTCCTTTTTTTTAAAAGTTTTTATTAGTTTAATATATATGGTTGCTTTGGCTGCATGTATGTCTATGCATCATGTGCATGCCTGGTGCAGCAGACAGCATCCAGCGCCCTTGGACTGGATTACAGACAGGCGTACGTGCTGGGAATTAAACCTAGGTCCTTTGGAAGGGTGGTGTCTTAATTAGGGTTTTACTGCTGTGAAGAGACACCATGACCAAGGCAACTCTTATAAGGACAACATTTAACTGGGGCTGGCTTACTGGTTCTGAGGTTCAGTCCATTATCATCAAAGCAGGAAGCACGGCAGTCTCCAGGCAAACATGGTGCAGGAGGAGCTGAGAGCACTACATATTTATCTGGAGGCCGCTAGAAGACTCTCTTTCTTCCTTTAATTCTTTCTTTCTTGGTTTTTCAAGACAAGGTTTCTTTGTGTGGCCCTAGCAGTCCTAGAAATCTATCTATAGTCCAGGCTGGCCTCAAACTCAGAGATCCACCTCCCTCTGCCTCCTGAGTGTGCTGGAATTAAAGGCCTGTGCCACCATGCAGGCTTATACAGAATTCTGAGAGTGGTACCTGGGGAAGGCTATGTGTGAGCCAATGGAGCCTTCTAGGTCTGCTAGGCTTGAGGACAGAGTCTCTGGAAAGAGGATGGCTCCTCTGATAACACTCCACTTGGTTATCCCACTAAAGACCTGAGGACCAGGAAGCCATTCTCTAACTGCTCTATCGAGCTTTGAAAGTTCAAGGTCAGAAAAGCATGATAGCGTGCTCCTGGTGACCCCAGCACCCAGGAGGCTGAGACAAGAGACATTATGGATGGCTGTGTGTCACCGTGTGGGTACTGGGAGTAGAATACTCAAAAGTGTTATATGTATTTCAGATGCCCACCCAAGCCCAGCTGCTCTGTCTGTCTCCTGCCTGTGGATTAGCACATAAAGCTCTCAGCTACTGCTCCAGTGCCATGCCTATGTGCTTCCCAGTGTGGTGATCATGGACTCGCCCTTCGAAACTGTAAGCTAGACCCAAGTAAATGCTTTCTTTAAAAGAGTTGCCTTGGTCATGGTATCTCAGTAACACACTGGTCCAGGCAAAGCCCTCTAAGCAATAATGATGCCCTGGAAGTGGATGCCTGGCTCTCTTTCTGGTCTCTCCAAGTGCAAACTCCTTGAGGCCAATCTATGATGCCTTCTGTCTCCACAGAGAACAGACAGCATGAGGACCAAAGAGAAAGGAGAAACTGGATGCTGGAGGTGCCTAATTGAAAAGTCCATTCTGTAGAGGGAGGAAGGGGCTTTCTAGAAAGGAAACATGGAGTGGTCAGCAGAGCTGGAAGCCAGAGAAGAGAAGATAGGGCCAGTGGAGGGTGAGCAGCATAGTACTCATCACGTTTTAACCACTGAGGATGTAATGGTCCAGGAAGCCACAACCTCACACCAACTGCCCCTCCTACTCTCATGGTAGTACAGAGCCTCCCTAGATAATGCCAAGGCTTGAAGTGGAAATTTGTAGTTTCTTTGGAGACTCAGTTGTACCATGTAATGTTTTTCTGGAAACTGTCTAGTGAGAGGATGTTTTGCTGAGAACAGATACATGATATTTTTCTGGAAGCTGCCTGGAAAAGGGCATGTAATGTTTTTCTAGAGTGGATGCTTGAGAGGAAACGTTATTGGTTCACCTTGCCCTTCTTTGCTGGTCTTTGTTGGGCTTTACTGATGCTGGCCTTCACGGTCCACACTGTGGCATTGGTGGCATTGGTTTGCCTTGCCTTCTTCACCCCTTCATAGAAAGAAACACACCGAAGAACTTCTCATGATAATCTGGTGGCTTCTTGCCACTTCTGCCGACTCAGGCCAATTGGCAGAGCCTTGAGGTTTCCTCTGGATCGAACTGCCATTGCTGACTGGTGAATGGTGTTTGTGAGTGCATCGAGCTACTGACACTGAATCATGTGAACTGAGATGCTGATACCCTGACAAAGGAGATTGGAATTGCCTGAAAAAAATGTTTCTAAACAGATCCACATCTTCCTTTGTCCTGTTAACCTTTCGTTTCTACTGCCTGTGGCGGGTGGTGGGCTAGAAGGGATAGAAAAGCATTTAAAAACCCTTATTAAAGTAGGTTAAAAAAAAAATCTAGGCCTACAAAGGCTCATTCTTTCTTGAGTTTTTCTTGTTAGCTGGTTGGTTGTTGGGGTTGGACTTGGTTGGGTTTCTGGGACAGGAGCTCACTTTGTAGCCCAGGCTGGTCTTAAGCTAGCTCCGATCCTCTTGCCCCGTTACTCAGAGTGCTGGGATAGAAAGACGCCATCACACTGTTAGAAATGGGTCTGGGGTATCAGAAAAATGACTACACAATCCAAAGCAAACGTTTTATTTCTGCAGAAGGATGCATGGCTGAAAATGAACCAAGCAAGAACACTTAGCAGGAATCCTGCTGGGTTTTATCCCTGACCCAAAGGGGTCCTTTTCCTCGATTGGCCACATGCTATTATGGGATAACTAAAAAGCTGAGCAGCTGATAAGCAACGTGTAAAAACTGAGACAACAAGAAACCTGGATCACGCCAGCGGTGGTGGCGCACACCTTTAATCCCAGCACTCAGGAGGCAGAGGCAGGTGTATTTCTGAGTTCGAGGCCAGCCTGGTCTACAGAGTGAGTTCCAGGACAGCCAGGGCTATAAAGAGAAACCCTGTCTCGAAAAACAAAAAAACAAAAAAAAAAACAAACAAAAAGGAAGAAAGAAAGAAAGAAGGAAAGAAAGAAAGAAAGAAAGAAAGAGAAAGAAACCTGGATCACATCTTTGACAAATGTTAACTGTTAGAAGGCATGTTTGCCAGATGGTGTCTCTACAGATTTCTTTGTTAGATTATAGGCCTGTCCCTCTAAGCCAAGAGCTCACGACCTGAAGAATTTGGAGACAAACTCTCCCCTACAGCAGACAGGTCCCTGGTAGAAAGAATAAACTCCCAGGCAAGACTCAGAGGGGTGGAGAAAAACAAACCCAAACTAAAGACAGATGTGGCAATAAGGTACCAAACCCATGCACTCAGATGCCCTAGCAGACAGTGTGAGGACCAGAGATGATAAACAAATTCTCTCTGTATCCCTTGCAACCTCTGACTGAGTTATAGTCAATTTCTTGATCCCCTCCAAACAGGTACCCTGTAGCTGGACCATGTATTACAGTAGCACTCACTGCTGGGGAAAATCTCGCCAGATTAGACCTTCCCTGCCTGGTCATCAGGAGTATGTGTCCCCCAATAGAAGTGCACACTCTAGGAAAAGATCTCTGTTTCTCCCTGAAACCAGTTCACTCCTGCAATGATCGCTGCTGATGCTGAAACCTCTGTTTAACCCTTTAACCACAGAATGCTCTTTGTCTCATTTAACCCGTTGACAGAAATTATAGCACATTTCATTTCCGTTCCACTTAGTTCCCAGCTGGGGTTCGCTCTTTGTAGACAAGACAGCATGCAGCTCACATACCCTACTCAGTTTGGCTTCGGGGACTGGGAAGGGAAGCTGGGTGTCCCCCTGGTGCCTGCTGGAGGAGGGTGGCCATGGTGCTCTCAGGTCAGAGTTGAAGAAGCAAAACAAAGCAGGAGGTCAGGCCAGAGAGAATGTTAGGGGGCTAAGCTGCAGCGAAAGGTCTGCCTAGTGCTGGAGGATGACAGCACAGGAAGCCAGGCGGCGGTGGCGGTGGAAGCACACAGATCCCAGCACTCGGAGACAGAAGCTGAGCTGATCTCTGAGTTTGAGGCCAGCCTGGTCTACAGAGTGAGTTCCCAGACAGGCAGACAGGCAAGGCTATACAAAGAAATCTTGTCTTGGAAAATACAGAGAGAGAGAGAGAGAGAGAGAGAGAGAGAGAGAGAGAGAGAGAGAGAGAGAGAACAAATAAACCATAGAAGAGGAAAGGAGCACCTGAAGAGTGGGTGACATCTAACCCATGGACCCTCCTAAAAAAGGGAACAGCAGAAGGGGCAGGCCAGGAATTCCCAGCACAAATCCACTAACCCCCAAAGGGTGACAGGGCGGCCAGCAACTGTGTTGTGGCCTTCAGGGGCTTTCATCCCTGTAACTATCACAGTGAGGCCCTGCCACAGGCAAGAGGAAATTAAACCAAGCTATGTGGATAACAGCAACAGTAGCAGATGTAGAACACCAGTGAGAAGCTGTCAAAGGATCCGAGTGTTTTGATTTTCAGCTTTATTGAGTGTTTTTTTTTTTGTTTGTTTTTGTTTTTGTTTTTGTTTTTTGTTTTTCGAGACAGGGTTTCTCTGTGTAGTTCTGGCTGTCCTGGAACTCACTCTGTAGATCAGGCAGGCTGGCCTCAAACTCAGAAATCTGCCTGCCTCTGCCTCCCAAATGCTGGGATTAAAGGCGTGTGCCACCACCGCCCGGCCTTTATTGAGCTTTAATGGGTGTTTAAAGGGTACAATAACAGGCTCTAATGCCAGCACTGGAGAAGCACAGACAGGAGGATTGCCATGAGTTCCTGGCCAGTCCCAGCTACATAGTGAGTTTCTGGTCAGAGCTGGATTCTGTCCATAACAAACAATAAAATAAAAATTGGAAATCAATAAACCAGACAGGGTAGCAGACACCTTTAATCTCATAACTCAGCAGGCAGAGGCAGGTGGATCTCTATGAATTCAAGGCTAGCCTGATCTACACAGCAAGTTCCAGGCTAACCTGAATTACTTGGTGAGACCCTGACTCAAAACCAAACCAAACCAAACCAAACCAAACCAAACCAAACCAAACCAAACCAAAAAGCAGAACACAGACAAAACCACCAGGGGCTCAGTAGTTAAGAGCACCTCTGCTCTTCCAAAGGACAAGAGCTTGGTTCCCACCACCCATGTCACGCCAACTGAGTATAACTCTACCTTCTATGGAGGAAATGTTCTCTTCTGACCTCAGAGGACACCTACACTTAAGTGTATAGACACAGCACACACACACACACACACACCCCACACACATACACATACACACACTTAAAAATAAATCTTGGGGAGAAAAAAAAATGCCAAAACTTCCCAGGAAAATAGAATTATCAGAAAGTAAAGCAGCCAGATGCAGAAGATCTCTGAGTTTGAGGCCAGTTTGGTCTATGGAGTGAGTCCCAGGGCAGCCAGGAATACTCAGAGAATCCTGTTTTGAAGGAAGGGGTTGGGGGGGAGACAGAGAGAGACAGTGAGAGAGAGAGATCTCATTAAAACTTTTGCATTTTGGACAGTAGAAAAACCAGTGTTGAGGGCCGTGAGTTGACAAAGAGCCAGAAGGTGGCAGTGTCTACCCAAGGAGGGGCAGGCTTCTTCATGTCCCAGGCTAGAGTTGCCCCACATCAGCCTTGCAAAAATTCCAGTCCTACCCCTCGATCTGGCCTCACGTTCCTCTGCCTCACCAAACAAAATACGGAACGTGACAAAAGCCCGGGTGGTGTGGTCGCCCGCTGGGTTTTAAGATCTAACAAGAGTCTCTTCCCATGGGCAGGGGGACTCCAGTGTCCTGCCACTGGATCCTGGCTGACGTGCCAGCACCTGCCGGTTCCCCAGGCCTTCCCCTGCTCCCAGCTCATCCTAAACTCAGTTATTTCCTCTCTTTAGGTGAGGCACAGCTTTGGCAGAAAGCTTAAGCAGCAGAGGCAAACCACCCCCAGTGTGGTGTCATTTGCAGGGAACTGAAAATCACTGTTACCCGGAAAGCAAGCAAACAAACAGACTTAGTCAAGCAGATACGGGGGTTCGAGCCTGCAGTCCTAGCACTTGGGAATCAGAAGAAGGCTCAGAAGTTCAAGGTCAGCCTTGACTATCTGTTGAGTTTAAGGCCAACTTGAGGTATGTCAGACCCTGCCCCTCCCCACAAACCCACCTAAACGGACATCTTGTTTTCTCTCGTGTGCGGAATACATATATATTGACAGTAGAAGGGGTGATATATGAGGGGAGGCGGAACCTAAAGCAAGCGGAGGGCGGGCCAAGAGATGGTAATGAGGAGAGAGAAACATTTTCTTTCACACGTGAAAGCTAGATTTAATTCTGTGTGTGCACACGACATGGAAGCAGAAAGGCAACAGTTTGTGCGGAGGAAGAGGACCAATGGGAAGAGGGAGGGAGAAGAATGTGAGCAAAGAACTGGGGGGGGGGGGTGCGCGCGCGCGAGACAGAGAGAGAGAGCGTGTAGATGGCTGAGTAGGTGAAAATATCATAATAATTACTTTGTATGATAAGTAAAAATTTTTTTGAATGTTTCAGATAGTTAAGTATGTGTTATACGTATTTTATTTATTTGGTTGCTCCTTTTCTTTCTTTCTTTCTTTCTTTTTGTTTTGTTTTTTGTTTTTTTTTTTTTTGGTTTTTCGAGACAGGGTTTCTCTGTGTAGCCCTGGCTGTCCTGGAACTCACTCTGTAGACCAGGCTGGCCTCGAACTCAAATCTGCCTGCCTCTGCCTCCCAAGTGCTGGGATTAAAGGTGTGCACCACCACTGCCCAGCTGGCCTTGAACTTATAATAGGCCACCTGTCTCTTACTCTGGAGCTCAGGGATTAAAAGTAATTCCCACCACATCTACCTATTAGGTGTATTTGCACAGTTAATACAAC